TAACAATAATAATAATAGTAATAATAAGACAATAGAAAATGCGGCAAGTAACATGAAAAAGAATGAAAATAATGATGATGCAGTAGCGATTTCGTCACGACCACAGATGGATAATTGTAGTAGCGGTACTGCACAAGCCATGCAAGAAGTTGCCTTAGATTAAAAATTTTAGGAAAAAAATATTGTATCATCAATTAATGCATTTTCAACCAGTTTTCTCCTTGAAATATTTTGAATATCTTTTTTTTTCCTTTTGGGAAAAAAGTTTGATTGTGATGTGAAGAACTAAATATTAAAGAAAATATTAAAGAAAGTAACAGTAAATTGAAGATATTTTTCAAGTTTGAACATTGAAAGTGAAGGGAGAAGCTGCATGAAATTACGCAAATTGCTGGAATATTTGGATTTAAAAATTTTCCATATTCTTTTATGATAATAGAGCTTGAAACATAGTGAAATATTTCCATTAGTTGTGTTGATATTATTTAGACCAAATATTGCTCATCGTCTGTTACCGAAGTGCCCTATTGCCAGTAGCTTTTCCGTCGATTTTTTCTTTTTTTTGTGTAATTTACAGAGTATTCATTCTTGCTGCTCATTCAGTTTTGTTGTTTTTTTATATTTTATTGCATTTTATTTTATATTTTTTTATTTGTCAAGTAGAAATTTTTAATGGTAACTGAAATTATGCACATGTTGTTACAGTTACTAAAGGACAATTTGAATTTTGAAAAAAGGGAGACTTTATTTGTCTGGAATTTTAACATGTCGAAAATTTCAACTATATCGTTGACTCACATCAAAATTTCGCATTTCTCTAGTAATTTAATGAAGAGAACTATTGAACGTGTAATATAAATTTTATCACATAGTGTTAGTTGCAGCGTACAAAATTTATAACCTTTTGAAACCGTTCATGAATTTCAAACCCTTTTCACTAAGAGAGAGAGAGAGAGAAAGGAAGGAAAAAAATAGGCAGTGGCTTAGATGTGAATTATGAAAAAATTCATTTATCACACAATGGAAGTGTAATGTGCATTATTGAAACATGATTCAAATTTAAAGGTTTGCCTTTTTTTTCGTAGAAGTTAAAGGCTTACCTTTTTTCTCGCTCAATTTAAATTTTTATCTGTTTACTCAATCGTGTGCAATGATTAATACAACATTTGTGTATTTTATCATTAAATTAAGTTATAGTTAATTGGATATCATATATCATATGGACAGATTTCTTTACATATCTTTCCTGATATATGTAATACAGTACAGTTCCATATGGTGTGATAGTGATTTTATCACTGGAATGCTATTTTCTCGAGATATTTATTATTTCTTATTGTTATCCATTAATTGAAAGTATCAGGAAGCATCGACTTATGGGAACAATGTTTCTGTAGCTTATTATCTATATAATCGTGCAATTCAAAGAGTTGATGCATTCTTGGTCACAAATATATGTTTTGTTTTATTTCGTTTTTTCTTTCAAATTCTAAACTTAAGTTTTATTATTATTATTTTAGCCATTACAGTTACTACCATTAGTAAATTTGAGTAATATATCAGGATAAGTTATGATTAGTTAGTTATTTAGATGCAAATAAATAAATAAATGAAAAGGATGTTTCCCTTAAAAAGAATGCAGATAAAAAAATGAAGTATACAAAATACCTCAAAAATTCCTAATCTCTGATTGCAACATTAATCTTAGAAAGAAATACTGCTGGTAATACTTTGCGCATTTAATTGTAAACTGGTTTTTTCTTCATTTTTTTGGTTTTGAAAAAATTTTTGTGTTCGTATTTGTTAACTTTTTCCTCCGATTATAATCGTTTAGATTTGAAATTGACGGGTTCAATCTTATTTGCGTTTGTCAGGTTCCTTTTTTTTCATTCTTTGTGACCTCACTATCAAAGTTTTTGTTTTCAGAATCCATTTGTGTGCACGTGTATATATGCACATATGCATGGGTGTGTGTGTGTGTGTGTGTGTGTGTATGTTTATGTGTGTGTGCATGCACTGAGTGCATGTGGATGGAAGAATCCATAGATACAGGCGGTTTTGTGCATGGATATCCGACTTAGAACAAATCCGTGATATGTAATTTCATCCCTTATCTTCTTCCTGACTAAGTTTATCCTTTTCAAGAAATAAAATTTAATAAAATACAGGGAGATCCATTTCTTTTTATAGTAATCTACCAATGAATCAAATACTTATATCACCGTCGTAACCAGGATAATCTCACATTGATCCTAGATTTACCGAATATTCTCAGTATGCCTAGCATCCGCGATTTTTTTTTTATAAATTACAGATGCATTCAATTTCAATCAGATTATCTATCATAAACAAGCCATTTCTTTTCTAAAACTATAGAAAAACTGCAAAAGATACATGAAATACTCATTATACATTAAAAATAGAAAATCCTTTCAAATAATTTTAGCAAAATAGTTGAAAAATTATCATTTCCTTAAAAAAGAAATGTAAAAATAATTTTACTTTGTTTTTAAGTGTTATCTTGATCAACATTTTGTTTTTAAATATTATTTTGATTAATAAAAATGAAAACCGACAAGGAAGCACATTTTTCATAAATCATTCTTCATCGATAATTCTGATTCTGATACGTTGTAAATACTTTTTCGTACAATTTGACAATTAGAGGCATATAAACGAACATAAACTTGCAGCCTTTTCTAGGCGTGGTGGTGAGGAAAAAGGTGGTTAAGATAGTTATTTTGAGTGATGCTGCTACTCATAATTCTCGTGATTTGGTCCAGAATAATACTCAAAAAGATTAGCATTGCATACTCCGATAGCAGATTTGATGAAAATTAGATCTATAAAGTTAACGTTGACCAGAAGTGATAACAGTAAGTATAATAATGACTAAAGAAAAGTAAGGGGGGGCTGAATTACTAAAAATGAAATTAATGGAGCGAATAAAAGAATAAAACACACACATGAACTGCCCATCAATAAATAATACGAATCAGATTTTTCAGAAAATTACAGCTACAATTTTACATCAGAACGACTCAAATTATTTTCCATAAAAAAAAAAAAAAAAACTTATAATGATCACAGAAAGGCTGAGATTGAAAATTACAACAGATTCAATCCGAAAGCAATAATGAGAGAAGTTAACCATTCAAGAATTTTGTCGATATTTTCAAGCTTTCAATTTTTAATAATTATAGAGTAAAATCCTTGAGTCTTCCACTATGAAACTGCGATAAATTCTGTAAGTTCTCAAATAAAGAAGCTTGAAACATTTACAAAAAATGTGAGTACCGTCTAAACAGATGGAATACTAAGATCCTTGACTAAATAAATGTATTTGGAGAAGCTAATTTTTGAACTCTAATAATAATAAAAACAATAAATCTCACTATCACCTATTACTTTTTCGTTATTGTGCCTTTTTCAATTTTTGTCGCTTTCTGGCTACATCAGCAAAATCATCGTTGGGTGATAGACTACGTTGTGGCAGCGATATGTTCGATAATCGAGTAAGTATTTCTTCCACAAATGAGAGAGCCTGAAATTTGGGATGAGTACAATTTTTATTAAAACGGAAAAACATCTTATAATAAATCCATGTCATTAATTTCGATTGAAAAATAAAGCGTTTCGACATGCCATTAAAAGTTCATTCTAAAAAACTTATAAACTAGAAATGCTGCGCGAATATACATAAACAGGCATATAAAATAAAACCGGAAACCGTAAAATAGTAGAAAAAAGCAATCGTAACCTCTGGCCAGAAGTTATACCTAAAAAATTGTTTTGAATGGTTTCTTTATGTGATATTTCTCATTTTATTTGACATGTGTATATGTAATAAGCAATAAAAAAGGAAGCAAAACCTTTTGATGATTGAAAAATAGATATGCAATAAGGAAGAAAAATGGAAGTGCGAAATAGCTTCCACCAGATATTTCCACTTCAGATTTCCGCTGAAAATCTAATTAATTAGTTTGTAAAGAGAAACTATAGCCAGTCAATTATCAAGATACATGAAGAGAAGATTTTCTGAAAAGCAATTTTAGTTAATATACAACTGTATTACTACCATACGAGAGCTTCCCGATAATATTTGTAATTTAATCCTTTCTACATGTAAAATAAGACATATGGAAAGAATTAAATTATGACATTCCAAAATTTCTCATTTGACAATCACAAAAGTATAATGATTAACTTCTAAAAAAAATTTTAATTTTGACACGATTCAACCGTGCTATCGACCAGTGGAAATAAGTCAGTGGATTTCATGTGATCTGCGATAAAATGAATACTTTAGACATAGACAACTATATAACAAATATCCTCTAGAAATCAAAAAGAAAAAAAAAAAACAAAAAATAATCCAAAAAAGAGGAAAAAAGTAATTTGCCACAAAGAGACAACATAACTAACCTGTGGACGTATACTCAATGATACAGCTTTAAATGTCTCATTTGCGATGAAGAAAACTTCTGCAGAATCCAGTTTCTGATTACCTGCACTATAAATTGTCTCAAATCGAATCGAATATACCTTTAAAAAATAACAACAAATAAGTTCGAGCAGGAAAAAATTTCCATACATATGAAATTTTATTCAATCTAACAAGTAAGGCACATTTTATGCATGCTAAAATGTCGATAAATATATATGGTTAAAAAAATGACTCTTTTACTAATGCATAATTAACATCTATCAAACAAATGTTATCATTCCACAATATTACCACTAACTGGTAAAAATTTCTACAAAAATATAAAACAAAACAAAAATTAACAATCCAAAAGAAAGACAACTTACGGCATTATCTACTGTAGGAATTTCGAAGTAAAATACAGTAGACGGTGCCACAACAGTTGTTTGCTGAATCAAATTACCACTTTTGTAAAGACCAATTTTATATTGCGGTGGTGAATTAACATCAATAAATATAACATCACCAGCAACATCTACTCGTTCATCGATATGTGTTAACACAAAATCAATACCGTTGACATCCTCAGCATTTACCTACAGAGAAATGATAACATCATGCAAATGGGTACGGCTTGTTTGACTATTCGAATAAGATTTCAAAACAATCTAAGCTTAAAAGATACTACCCAACGTCCATTCACCACTTATGATGTTCATGTAACATCTGCGCGATAAAATATACAAATGAACAAATCATACACACTGTAGTATATTTATTTTTGAAATGTATCATGTTAAGAAGATAAGTTTGGTTGGTACATAAACATTATCCATTCAATGTTATGGAACTAAAAAAAAAAAATCTAATTTTAACGTAGTTCTTAATGCCAAAGTGTAAGATCAATAACTCCTTTCTCACTTTGGCTAATCTCATCTAATCAATTACATGAAAACATACCGTGATATCATAATGTGTTGGATATGACTGCAAGCGTTGACCGCTCGGTGTTTTCAAAACCAATCTATAGACACATTTAGGATGAAGACCACGAATCCGATATTCACCATTTTCGTTCGTTGTATCCTCCTCTTGCAACTGATTGCACTTTTCCGATACTGCTTCCACAGTCATTGTTGGTACTGGTTGACCAGCTGGATAGGAAACTTTGCCAAAAACACTGAAAGTTTTCCTTTTCTTTTAAAAAATATTGAACTAAAAAAAATAATCAGGTAAGCAAAAGATTTTAGACATATCGTGATTAATCTACATATATTATGTAAAATAAACAAGTCCTAGAAATTCACGACGTTGAATGGTACAAAAATATATAAACATACTAGAGAAATGATTGGGAAAATGATGGATAAAAAATAATGAGTCAAATCAATATTACTAGACTAATATTTTATTGTGAAATGTTCGCATAAATTTGGAAATTAAATTTACCTATATGCAAATCGATGCCCTTTCAAGTTTACCGTTTCAAATTCACCCTCTTTGATATTTACTGTGATTGATTTTGGATCAAATTTATATTCCTGTAGTATGGGACGTAAAAAATATTCTCCAGGTCGCTGAAAACAAACTTTGGGGAATTTAATGATATAAACTATGAAAAACTTTGCAATGCATCTAAGTAATTTACTTCAAACTCGATTTTAGGTTCTTGTAATATACACTACGCAATTCTTTTGAGATTAAAAGCTAAATAGTGGTGCTAAACTTGTAGACGGTAGAAATTAACTGGAAACAAGCATGCCCAAATAACCTAATGAAAGTGAGAATGGCTTTGAATGCTTGAAGTTATAATTTTCATGTTACAATTGTTTTTCAGAAACATAAAATACCGACATTTAAAATACGATGAAGACATTTAAAAACTCACCAAGCCAATGAAGACGATTTTTCCGGTTTTATCAATGAAGTTGTTTGATCGATAATTCTCAGCACCGCTCAAAGAAATGAGTACATTAGAAAGTGGCTCACCGGTCTCAGCATCGGTAGCAATAATGATCAGCTGCGATAGTTTTACGGCATTTAACACTCCTAGTTTTTTTGTTTTTTTAAATTTATATCCACTTTTTTCGGCAGTTATATCGAAATCTTTAATATTTCGCACTGGACCGATCCTGTAAACCACAAATTTCAAATTTAAAGATATTTCATGCACTGAAAAAGTCTTTTATTGCGTCCCAAACATAACGGTAGTAGACAAGATTTCGAATTAATCTATGAACTAAGACGTGCAACCAATCACTAACAGTCAATCAACCATTAAGCAAATGGTACAAAATTTATGCAAGTTGATCATAATCAAAATCCAATACCAAAATAATTACCTAAATTTGCCGTCAGAATCGGTTGCTGATTCAAGGATAACATTTGGATCATCTTTGCATGGTGAACGGATATACACGTCCTTAACAGCTGGCACCACTTGTCCTTCCAAAAAGATACCTTTATCAGCTTTGAAAGTTATTTCATCCAAATGACATTCAGCTGAAAGTGACAGAATTTTTTGTCTCAAAAAACATTTATTAGATTTTTTTATAAAATGTAAAAATGTGAAAATATGTGGTAAGCGTCACTACAGAAATAACAGAATAGGAAGTGGAATGGGATTAAAAAAAAAAAACTTACCACTGAACTTGAAAATATGAGAAGTTGGATTGAAAAGATAAGTTTTCGACTGAGGTGTAAGTGTAACAAGTGAATCAGCATCCAACGCTGATAAATAAAATGTGAAAGTTAGTCTTTTTTCTGCTGAGGAAGTTACCTAAATAATTCAATTTTAAAGTAAAACTTCCTAAAAAAACTATAAACAAGAATTTGAATGATTTAGCAAAAATATACTTTCGAAGCCAATCATCTTTACAACGTCATGTAAATGTTACTGTAGTTAGGTTCAAAATTTCCTAAGATCTTCCTTAAACATATCTTTAAAACTTTTATCACGCAAAAAAACAACTGTACAATTTATTTTCACATGTCTTTTGCATCTAGTTATGCGATAATTCCAGTTGATAAAGTGATCAAGCTAAGGTGATAAAGTACAAATATTCCTATGATCTGGAAAGGAACTCACTACTAACTGGATCAGTTGATTAGCTAATCATTACAAGTCACCATAATGAAATCAAAAATGTTAAAAGATAGGCAAAGATACCGGAATCACTTGTTTGTCAGTACTGGATTTGACAGATAAGGTAAAATCATCAAGCTGATTCACTATATGATCCAATTCAATCGAAGCAGAGATTACAAATTTTGAAGCAGATGCAACAAATGGAACTTCCTGCGGAACAGTAATTTCATATGATTGTCTCTCAAATTTATGGCAAGCTTCAAATATCACAGTATAAATGCCGGCTAAAGGAATGCAGAAAAAAAACTGCCCAGCTGGTATATTAAGCGAACCACTGATTTGAGGTTTTTCCAACATGCTCCATTTCTGAAATAAATGAACGAAACATTTTTTTATCTTTTAAACAATATTGATCATTTTCGAATAAAAGTTAAAGAACTAAAATTTTTAATGATATAATTTAAACCGCTTTAGCTGGATGTGACAATCGGGTTGTCGTTCGATATCCTACTTGACGAAACACGAGGTTATCTAAGTTAGCACGTTCAATAACAATATCCATTTCGGTTTTTTCCCAACAAAATCGATCATTATCTATCATTTTCACTGTAAAAACAATTTTATTTCTAGTATAAAGTATACTAATTAAAAATTTTTTAATATTGAAGAATGAAGAATAACTTTTCCGAATCATACTGTCATAATAATAATACACTTACATTTATAAGAATCTGGTGCTAAGTGATGAAAAATAAATTGATTAGTGCCTTCAAGGCTTTCTATTAACACTTCTTCTCTCCAGAGTTCTATTTTCAAAATATCACAGTCATCTGCAATATAAAGCTATAAATAAAATATAATATGGTGCACCGAATACTGAAAATTCATCACTCGAAAACTCACAATAATATTGTTTCCAATTTGCTAAAAAAATTTTCAGTAAACGAAAGAAGAATATCTTCAGTGAGAAGTAATACGTATCATAAAATTAATTTCTAACTATTTAGATGAAACAAAAAAGTTTCTAGCAAGATAATGACTAAACTTGATTTAATCTTGTAAACAATAAAGAAAATTTTAAAACTCAGAAAAATTTTGATATTCCAAAATAAGATTGTTATAAAAAATTTTCAGAAAGTGCGAACCTATACAGATAACACTAACATTCATATCAGTTTTGAATTGACTAAATATAATGTCAAGTATAGGACCCTTCGATAAATCAACTTCACGTTGTTTTGGAGTCATTACTAAATCGTTTGCGGATGAAACCTAAAATACAATATCAGAAGAATTCTCATCACTTTTGATAATTCAAAACATGCATTTATGATCGACAAAAAATAAAAGTTTTAAAATCGTAATAGATATATTTGCTTAGTAAATCTATTATAAGGTTTACCTAGATATCAAATGAATTAAAACACATTGTTTGAATGGCTCAGCATTACAAAACTGGCTGAATTATGCAAATAATGTGTTTCAAAGGTCTTTTAGAAAATCAAGACATGGTTCTTTTCGATACATGGTTATGATTATTATCTGTAATAACGAGTGAACAATATTTAAGTAATATTCGGCCTTCGTATTCCAAATAAAGAAGTAACATTCCATGAATTTAAAGACATAAGCAAAAATTGAAACTAAACCGAAATAATATATCTGCCAACTGCTTGCAAACTGCATATTTTCCCATCACTCTTTGTACGCAGTAATTTCACTGCTTTTGTTTGCTGATTGGTGAAAATGATCGACATTTCATGATTAATGCTTTCTTCCGCACTCACCGTAACACATACGTCTACACTGAAAAAAATGCAAACATAATTGATATTAACAATTATTATCCTAATGTCTAAACAAAATTTAAAATGTGATGCCATGCCACACTACAGCAAATTTTTACATCAAGAATATAAAATCTTTTATTTGATTCATCAATTCATCGTGGCACTTTTTTTAACGATCGTTCTTTACTCGAAGAATGATAAACAATATGAGAAATATAAAATCATCGAATAATTCTATTAGGTTCAATATAAGTTTATGAAATATTCCTAAAGACAAGCATGATTTACCTTTCTACAACGATATCCGGAATTTCAGCTTTTTTTGCAGTCAGCTTGATGCTTACCGTATTGAAGGCAAAATGATCCATTTTAGCAGTTATTGTGTAAGTTTCATCTTGTAAGCCATCAAGCACATACCTAGAGACACGAAAGAATAGTGGAACAAATATGCTGTGAAAACTCTCGAAAATAACAGCATGGAAAGGTACCGTAAAAAGAGACATGTAAAAAATTTCTCTATTTTTTTTCAATAGTATTATTCGTGTCATTTTTTAAAGAGTTTTTTCTCTTTGCTTCAAATAACAAATCTTCGGATTAAATGACAATGTTTATAATAACTTGATGTATCTCTGTTGTTCTTATTTAAAGTCCTGGTAAGCAAAAAATTACCATCCGCTTGCATCAGTTTTCCCTCTTGGTTCGCCATTTACATAAATAACTGCATCGACAACTGGCTGTCCTGATAAAAGCACTTGACCTTTGCTATTAAATCCAAGTGTGTTGAAAACAATCTTCAAGTAGACAAAAACATTATTATTAATAAACTATTGAAAATAAGAGTTCATTTAGACTAAGAGCAATATGACGTTAAGTACATAGGCACATATAATATATTTATCGATGGTAGTAAAACTGAGTGTTAGAAATAGCCAGCATTATAAGTAGTCTACGACACTCCGCCTTGGGTTCTGGATGATACAATATAGATATATAAAAATGGATTTTAATCCTAAAGAAATATGTACCATCATAAGCAATAACAGAAATGATTATGCAATATTTTAACATAACATAAAAAACTATAAAAGCATACTAACATAATTCATAAAATTAGATTATGACTTATAAAATTAAAAAATTAGACTTTCTCCGCAGATGATCCCATTGTGATTTCTTTCAATTCCGGTGAAAAACTGAAATGAATTTTGTCGGTGGAAAGAGATGGCTGGATAGTATACGATCCTGGAGGAAGGCACGGGAATTGAGCTATACCTTTGTTATCAGTCTTCATTATACAAACAAGTTTTCCATTAAATTTTCTTCCTTCTTTTTCCATACCAGCCATTCCTTTGTCACAGTATGGCAACTATAAAAGAAAAACAAAAGTCAAAAGATCTTCATACTAAAACTATAATAATTAGCATTGTCAACTTATACAAAATATCGATTTTCACCACATATAATTTAATAGTAATAGAAAATGGCATCTACCGAAAAAACTATGAGCGATAATACATATTATGCACTGCATATACTGTGAAAAACAATTGCTAAACGATTCCACTAAACGGATTGCAGATGGCTCACAGTTTGCAGCAAATATATTCTCCCGAGGATGAACTTTCCAAAAATTTAACAGTGCTAAGATGTTTCGAAGCACAAGGAATGATTTTGTAGCTACACTAATGTTAGAAAATCTTTGTAACTTGCCTTTACAGAAATTTCCGAATAAAGTGCTACGGAAACACCAGCTACTTGATGCTTTTTGGATAAAACAGAAACTGTCAATAAATGTCCCGATATTTTTAAATCCGGCGATACACGAACTGGTGATGTTGTAATCGATACCGGTATTTTATCACGCTCGATGCATTCTGTGCTATCACCTGCGGTTGATACCTTCAGAAGAAAAATGGAAAACAATTAGTAATAAGCCAAAGTGTTGAATGAAAAAATAATTGCTTATTGAAATTTTCAAGGAAAAAAATTGAAATTTCTTTAGTATAATAAGGTTTTAATTATACGATCATATGAAACACAGCTATTCTAAACAAAGAATATTTCAACTTAATATTGTAAAAAAAACTTTTCATAGAGATAACTTACTAAATATTTTCCAGGTGATGCTTGAAATCTATATGCACCATTTGCAACCGTTTTTGCTTCCGATACAATAGTGCCATTTTCGGCAATAAGAATCAATGCAACATCTGCAGGTCCACTGTCATCACCACTTCGTAGTACACCTTCCACAGCGAAAGCGTTCAAAACAAAATTTATATCTTCACCTCTGGTGCATAAATCATTCCTCCCATTTACTTTCAGATTAAAAGTACTTGGTTCTGAAATAAATCCCTCTAGACTTTCTTTTTTGAGAGAGGGAGAGATAGAGAAAAAATAAAAGTAACAAAGGAAAAGAAAAAAAAAGAGAAAAAAGCAATAAGAAAATGAATTAATAAAATGTTTTATCACTATGGAATTTTTCTTCTTTCAGCATTTTAAAATATCAAATGATCTAAAGTAAAGGTCTTGAGAAGAGCGCCTACCAAAGAACCATCCATCCGGAGAGAAAATGCGTATGGAATAATCGCCCTTATTGTACACCGGAATCATATAATAGCCATTCGTCGGACTGCATTCCGTTTCAAATTTCAAATTTCCTTCAGCAGTAAATAGTTTAACCTATGAATAGACAAATTTGATAGTTTAAAAAACCGTTCGTAAAAAAATATCTATTTAGATTGCAATACACATTATTAAAAAATATCGTCGTCATTTGATTTGATTTGTGTGAAAATTTTTGATATTTTACTAGGTAAAAAATCATTAAAAAATCAAATTATAGCATTCGACACTAACTAACTCAAATCTAACTCAGTAGAATCCTAAATCAACGCATTAAATTCGCAACAAATGAGTACTGCACCTAACCATAGCCAAATGACTCACTCCTAATAACGGTTTTTGCTGCACAATAGTCAATCTTCAAACCTGTATTTTTGAATAATCGATTGGGATATCTGGTGATTTGACAAAACCCCCGCAACTGTAAACTTCAGCTGCTACTGTTGAAATGCATATCAAAGTAAGCGCAACCCATTTAAGTGTATTAATAGCACCCATATCTTAAATGCATGAAATCTTCAATTAGAATTTTCAATCATATGTTTTTTTTCTAAATGATAAAAACAGCTAGTAGCAACCACTATTCGTCAACGCAATTATTATTATTATTATTATTAGTAGTAGTAGTAATAGTAGCATAAACTTTGAAATGCAGTAATGAATAATTTGATTCATTTTATTATAATATAAGACAAAACGAGATTATTTACAACATTTATGATAATAAGAATTTAACAGTTAAAAGAATAAAATTATAAAACCTATAAAAAACATCCTATAAGTCACAAAATAATAAATGATTAAAAAACAATAAATAATTAAGCAAATTAAAAACAATAAACAGAAAAGTATTTTAAAAAAGTGAATTTCTTGAAGACCAAATTTCTGACGGAAAAAAATTTTGAACGTCTAACGCTACAAATCAATGAACTATCATATGCCCAAAACTGGTAGATTAAATGAAAACAAGACATAATGGAATAAATTACACTGAATATTATTAATCGATATCTAAACTCTGTTAATATCATTAAGAAATCTCACAACAATAACTTCAACATAGACGCTTTAACAATATTGAGGCTTTTGCTAAAGACATGTTTTAGAAAGGATTAAATAGATCAAGAAATCATTAGAGAATCTCTTTCATTGACTCCTAAATTTTTTTTTTTTTGAAGTATGACCTCGTTAGAAACCTGCACACTTAAAACTAGTGAAAATGAAAATTTAGTTACAAAGTAGAACAAACTCCAGCAGATGATTCGATTCAATTAACTTCAGTAAAAAAATCTTGAAGTGAAATGTTACATATGATAAAACTTAATAAAGTTTAAGTTTATATAATTTTAATACAATCGCAATCTTCATTCAAGAGCTTTACCTTTCCTTCACAATGATATTAACATAATTCAAATATCAACGCTTCTGTTTAGTTCAAATAACGGTTTGCAGAATTTGCATGATAACATGAAGTTTTCATATTGCTCGATTTGTATTGTAGCAAGATGTATACCGTGTTTAAAGCGTATAAGTCTACTAGCTACTTGCATTGTTTCCGTTGCTTTTTCTGGTTCATCTGTAATAAACAGTCAATATAGCTATGAATTCCAAAGCTGCTAGATCATTACGTTGGAAATGGCTCACAAAATGAATAATTGTTAAATCGATGCAGATTACATTAATCATCCGAGCATTCCCCATTGATCATGTTCCGAAAGATTTGGATTGGTTAGTTCTATCTTTTCTTTACAAACCTTAAGTTACTTTACTTTTTCAGAAACATGTGTCAGAATGACAATTTTTTGTGATATTATCTTTTGAATTAAAAGGTTACTAATATAGGAACATCAAACATTCAGAGCAGAATGAAAAATATTGATATTTTCAGCACTATCAAGCATTAATTCCAAAAAATTAATTGATTTTGCATATTTGATCTCTATAAAATACAAATATACCAATGGCTAAATGAACTGCTAAAGCTGTTTTATCCATATTCAATGACCACACATGTAAGCTATGCAATGTTCGTACACCATTTATGCTTAACAAATCACTCTGTAAGTTACCATAATTGATATGTGCGGGTGTTCCTGAAATATCAACAGCCTTTCACACTTTGTCAATCACAACTTAAATAAAAAAAAATTTACACAGAGTAATTTTAATGCCAGAGATAAGAGAGAAAGTTTAATTTTACTAAAAACAATTTATATTTACAGAATTGTTTTGAAAACATAAAATTTCATCAATACCTTCCATTAATATGAAGAAAATATCACGAATTACAGTAACACTTGTAACAAATACGATTATAGAAAAGAGGAAAGTACATAATGGATCAGCTAATTTCCAATCTGTTATCTGCAATAAATAAAGTTGTAAAAAGGTAGTAATTTGCAATATTAACCGAATATATTTTTTTTTAAATTTGTGAACGAAGAAACCTTTTTCCTGTTTTTTTCCTCTATTAAAAAGGATATCTGTGATGGAAAATAGAACGCCAGTAGCAGCATACTATCATCTTACCTTAATGACGACAGCAGCAATTAGAACGCCGATACTCTGTATAAAATCACCAAGGACATGAATAATAGCTGCTCGTACGTTAACATTAGCACTGAATTATGTCCTTCATCAGAGTAGAAATGTCATCAGTATTAAACATTGATCAAATTTACAATTTAAAACACAACTTTGTGTTGTACAAGAAAATTTTCAAAAAACTAAGTACCTACTGGCTGTGACTATGACCCATGTCTTGTGAATGAGTGCAGCGAAAATACCGCAATACGAGTCCCATGATAATATTAAACAATACGCCTGCACCTGCTGTTATAATCATCGTATTCGCATCAACCTGAAATCGTCATACCAAATAAAATCTGGATTTATTGAAAAAAAAACTTATGAAATTGAAATACATGTTCAAATTTGGCTAAAATTATAAAGAAAATGTCCAAATTTGCCTTCGACAATTTACGATTTTCTAACTAATATTATTTTCAAAATTCTTCCAGAAATAGTCTTAATACCATTTTTTAATCTTGATTACAACGAAAAAATATGATAGTAAATAAAATTTATTCTCTAAAAAAGCTACAACATTAAGACCATATTAATTCATCTCGTCTTTTCAACGATTATACCATACCAAATGTTATAAGAAAAGCTTATACCATCGAAGGAATATCTCTCCCTGGAAATCACATGTCGAATATGACTGAACGTCGGTTTCCCAAAATTCTACGATCCTAACTACTTATTTAAAATACCTTTGATTGCATTTCCAATAGACTAACCTTAAACTGCATTGCCGAATTTAGAAACCCTTAATTATTATTAAAACTACAATATACAAACAACTGTTAATTAGTTTAAAATGTCAAGTAACATATTTTTGCAATAATTAAATTATAAGAAAAAAGAAATGACGTTATTATCGATACAATAAATAAACAAACATCGAAATTATTATTGATAATCCGCTGTAAAGCAAGCATTACAAGCATTGTGGTAAGAATCCATATAATTATAATCGATATCGTAGCACCCAAAATTTCCGCACGAAGAAAACCAAATGATAATCGGTGATTTGCTAGAATCATCATTATAATTTGAATGATCAATGCGAAGGTAATTAGTATTTTCGATATGTGTGATCAATATTCAATGTATACAATTCGTGTATGTCCAGACTTATATTAAAATTACTTATCTGAAAAGTTCAAAATTTCGATTTCTTTTTCTCAGTTTTAATGCCGCGATCTTCTTCCTATTTTTATGTCTTGCAACACTTCAGTTAATTTAAAAGAACATGTCAATAATGTTTGCATGATACCCTTTGCACCATGCAATGAACCAATTTTGTGTCTTAATATATATATAATATATATATATCCCCTGATACTTAATGCGAAAAACGCTAGATTATGATTAAGAGGGAGTAAAAAACAAGACAAGTCACTTCTAATTAATAGAAACATTCCGACCATCCTAAAACCCAAATATATGACTTGCCATTAATTCTCCAGAAAATATTGAAATGAAAATCGAACCAGGAGAGCGTGCAAGTCGAATTGCTATAATAGATATAATAAAAGAGAGCAAATCACTAAGCATATGTCCAGCGTCGGTCATTATTGCTAAACTTTGGGCCAAAACGCCACCGCTGAATTCAGCAATAATAAAAATAGCACTTAAAATTGCTACCACTACCAATGATCGTTCGGCTCCTTTATCCTAGAAATATACGAAATCTATTACTAAAATTTTTTCCGTCATTTGACTTTAAATTAACCTTGTTTTAAAATCAGAATTAGTGATTAAATTAATGATTAGAATATATCCAATACGAACAACATGTCCAACATACAATCATCTATGGAAGTGCAACTTACATGTTGACGAGTTCAGCATGCTGAATAAGTGTAACAAAATACTTCTAATGATTTCAAGAATAATTTATGGTATAAAAGTTTCAAAATATCAGTTAGATTTTGGACAAAACAAAAAAAAATAATAAAGGACTGACAGATGCAATATGACTAACAAAATGATATGATTATAAGGCCAATGGAATGATCGAAATACTATATGGAATAACATGGTCAGTATGAATACAGTTAACAGAACTGATATGATCAACACAAATATGGTAATCGACATGATATGATCAAAAAAATCGACGAAATTAATTGATTATGATATCAGTACAACTAACGTAGATAATCATACAATATAATCATATAATATAATCACATAAATATAATCACACAATATCTATAATATCTCTACATTCCCATTGTCTTTGATGCGCAGGTTCTCAAAAAGGACAAAAAAAAAGCTTTGAATCACTAAATGATGCCGAAAAACATTAAATTAATAAGATTTAAAAGTATACCTCTTTTTGGGACAGTAATAAAAAATGACAATGTTCCTGTAGGTAAGAATAGTCAACTGATTCATGTTCATCGTCATAACTATCTCGATCATCGTAGATTGTATTTCGATCATCGTTGTCACCTCTCCATAACGCTCTCAACATCTTTCTCTAACGAATGTATGGTTACAATGTTATTATAATAATAAATAATAAAAGCATAAATAAGTTATACTATAAAAATGTTTATGTTTTGATCGACTTATTAGGAAAAATCCCGGATTAGAACCCTCAATCGTGTAAGAAAAACATCCACTCCTGACGTGCTAATAGGCAATATTATTTTCTACAATAATAATATGGCCCTATCATGAAAACTATCATCCTAAATTGAAAAGCAACGTTTGTTGGAAATGCAAATACAAACGGCAATATAAGTAGAATATATTCATTAATAATTGAGAATTCTTAAGAGAATACTAATTAAGATATGTGAAACTTTTTTTGTTTACTTTTCATTTAAATCATATTAAATTTCATTATGAAATCAGCCGTAATTTGATTATGCAATGTTTCTCCATATCTAAAAAGTTAAATTTAAATTTAAAAAGAAAAATGCTCCACAACTAAATGTTAGAAAAAGAATGGTGAAAAGTTATTTCATTATTTCGTAACACAGTATAGTGCTTTGCACCAAAACTAAAATAATTTTTCTTCTTCCTCTTCATTCCATAAATTTTCGTATTATTAATATATTATTATTATTATTAAAAACGCTTCAAATTTTGATCGAATTGAATTCCTAGTTTTTGCAAAAAATGATATTGATAACTATATTGAAAATGTTTTTTTAAGTGAATTTCTTTGAAGAATGTTTTATTGTTTATTGAATTCGTTTTGAAGAATGCTTTATGTTTTTTAAGTGAATTTCTTTGAAGGATGTTTAACTGAAAGAGAAGAAAATCTAATGAAAGGTGTTAAATTAATAATTATACAGAAATAAATGAAAAATCATTGCTCCAAAATCCGTTTTTTTTTAGTCTTTTTTTTTGCTCCTTTTGCTTCAATTTTCGGAATTAAGATTAGAAACTCATTGCTATTACGATCAATATTTCTATTATGTTCGGGGTCAAATATAATTAATAATGGTCGCATTTATCTATCGATTTCTATAATCGATAGCATAGAAATATTCAAGAAATGCGTATAAGATCAGAGTTTTTTCGAAATGATTTGAATTTTTTTCGGGAAATAATCTTTAAAATTTGAATTGTCATCATGTACTTACAGCATGACTTATAACGCTCTAATTTCTTGGTAGTGAATCATCAAAAAAAAGCACCACTGTTAGTTGGCAAGGCAAATTAATTTATCACATGAAAGCAAAAAGCGATTGAGGAATTCAGAAAAAAAGTCAAAATTTTCAGTTCCAATTATTGAATGGTGTTGAAGGTTGACAGTTATCACTGCCATAGCAATGATAGATAATTGTATGATAGCATATGATAGATCATGATATGATAATGTGAGTTGAACAGCTAATCAACTATAATGGTAACAGATAAGCGTAAATGATAAGGTAGAATAACATTTCATGAGCAGCAAATAAAACAATACCGACAGTATTAACATAAAATAATAAATAAAATTATACTAACGTTATTATTGATAAATTAATAAAAGTTAATACGTAATTCTCGATAATCATTATTTATAATAAATAACGTCATTTAAGCAATCAATTAAAAATATTAAATGTATTTCATATCAAGTAAATGATTTTCACATTTATAGATTTGATTGCTTATTAATATTTCCTATTATCATTATTTGTGACAACACTATCGGTTTTATCTCCGAATATTCGTTTATCCATTGTTAAATAAAATTAAAATAACATTAATACCCATTGTCAATGCTATTTTAATTGTTTATGCTCGTTAATCGTTAATTTTAGTTAATTCATCTTTCGTTCTTTCTAATTTTTGGATATAATTTGTGAATCATAATTAATCAAATAATTGCTCGCTTATAACTTTAAAGAACAAAAAAATTGAGCTAAAAGTACTCTTCAACAATTTTTTATTCATCGTTTTTAAAGTACTGCAACCTTTTATATTTGAACCGTAATTGTATTCCTCCTTTATATTTGCAGTGAAATTTCAAATTATACTTTAAGCCAATTCTCAAAATTTGTCATATACGCAAAATGTCAATCAATAAACTTTCAACGTTATCTTTCTTCTTATCTAATATTTACTTTCAACTATTATTCACTACTTTTTTTTCCAATTCTTTTTTGTTTATCGTTTATATCATTTAAATAATTTTATATTCAAGTTGAATGTTTCTAAAATTTTCAACTGTTTTTTAAAAAATTTAATAATGAAAATGATCGTACTTAGGTATGACGATAATCAATTTCATTTAGCATATTTCCGTTAACTAATATTTCAGATTTTTTTTTCCTTATATTTATATAAAGCGCAGGTAAAAAAAACTGGTTAACCTTGTTAATAAATAAAATATATTTGGGAAATTTTGATATATTTGAGTTAACAAAAAAGAAGCTACATTATTTAAGGAAGACAGATGTCTAACAAATATTTTATAGTAAATATTTAATGATGCAGAAGTGGACAATAATTAACGGTTAAGTGGTATATATTTATACATATATGTATGAATAATTACACGATGGTACTATTAACTTTTATTACATTTGGTGTTACAATTTTTCCTATACAAGGTAAGTTAATTTTTTAATTTCTAGCACTTGTTTAACATTAAATTTTACTAAGTTGCAAAAAAAGGCGATAATTTGAAGTAATGTAAGAAATGTTAGCTAGACTTTTCTATGTAAAATATTAGAAAGTGTAATACTAAATTGTAGTATAAAATACAAGCAAATTTTTCTCATTCATCGTTTATCTATCATACCCAGTAATATCAAATGAACGAAATCTTGAAACCCACTTCTCTCATTATCAAAATAGTGATAATTCACTTCAATTATTCCAACATCTTGATACCTCTTTTTAATCATTATAAAAATTTTGATAACTCGATTTAATCTTTATTGAAATCTTAGTAATCGCTTTAATCGCTATCAAAATCTTGATAACTCGTTTCAATCAATTTTGGTAATTTAATCATTGCTAACATATTTTTGATAATGATTGAAGAAGATGATATATAATAGCAGTTGCATGTGATTGCTATTATCGTAATTATATACACTTAGTGAATAAACGAAAAAATGGGATTTATGATGGAAGATTTGAAAAAAGATAGCGAAAAATTACTGTCGCATTTCGATTCCTTTTATGATAACTTCGTTAATTATCAATGCATCTTATCTTGCACCTCATATACTTCAATCACTATAGTATAACATAATATGTAGGAAATGTCACATAACATCAAAAGACAAATGCATTTTTTAAATTAAAAAAAACTGTGTTGAAAAAGTAATGAAAAATTAAATCATAAATAAATTTGAATAAAAATATCAATTAAAATAAAATTTTGGAGTAAACAAAAAAATTTGGGAAAATGCGCAAATTTAATGACACTGTTTAGCAGTGAATTATGCCGCAATTTTTGCACATTTGTCGAAATACGTTCGCGGATGTTATTACACCAATTGGGCTCAATATCGATATGGTTCAGTGATGTTTGAAATAATTTCATTTTTAAAATTAAATAGTTGAAATAGACTCTAAGGAATGTTTACATTTTTTGAATAAAAATTAGAAAGCTTATGTAAAGAACTTAAATCGAAAAAAAGCAAGCTCTAAGCCATATAAAATATGAGTAGAAAATAAAAATTTTCAGAAAATTAAATAATTGACAGTTTGACTTCCATTTTTTAGTTCTTGATTAGTTCTTACATTAATTCTCTTTCGTAATGATATATCTTGAATATACATCATTTCGACGTGTTTCTTAGCACCGTAAACTAATGTGGCGCAAGAAAAAAGTAACCAAAGTTAAGTAAAATAAGGATTGTGCTTCTACTAGTAAGTGAGTTGCAACACTGATCGATGTAATATGCATTTTCATGTTAAAGGAGAAGGCAAATTCTTACCGGAGGATATTCCAAAAGGCCTGTGCACTCACATTCTTTATGCATTCGCCAAAGTGAACCAGAAAGGCACGTCATTGTAAGTTGTAAATAATATTTGCAGTGAGAAATATGCTCGAAATTTTTATTGGGCTATTCATATGTATCGTGAAAAATTTTTGATTGAGTAGTTTTTGTTTCATAGACAAAAATTGTTGTGAAGAGTTAATCTTTGTGGAAGATTAATGGTAATACAGTATGACAATTTTAGTGACGAAAATTTCTTGATTATTGAGATTGAAATAATCATTTCTAAGTTGGACGGAATTTGAACGGAATTGATTGAATCTCCGACCAGTTCCGAACAGTAATTAATCGCGCAACGGAAGAGTGTGAGCTGTTGAATGTGACCGTTGATGTAGACAATAGGGGTGACCACTAAGAGCAATGGACATTATATATAGCCTGGTTGGACAGTACTCGGTGTGCACTTAATGTGAAAGACAGTTTTGTATTTGAACAAAGAAATGACAGTCATTCGATGGATGAACAAAGGATTATGCAAATTCAGTTGAGAGATGAAACGAATTGCAACAAAGAATCGTCTA